GGGAACACGGTGGTGTACCGAGAGTAGTCGTCAACGACCACTAGGAAGAAGCTCTCTCGCTCAGGTCCAAGCCGTGGAGCGGGGCCCCGGACGTCTAAGTGGAGTGTCTCAAAGGGCTCGGAGGCTGGACGAAGGGAGGAGGAGTGAGGAGTGGCGCGCAGCCGACCCTGGACACAAGGACCGCACGGAGGAGCGGGGGACGGCGGGAGCGGCGGGAGGTCGCGGGGGAGGCCTAAGACAAGACGCTGACTGGACATAGCGCGGAGACGAGAGAGGGACGGGTGACCAAGGCGGTGGTGACAGAGGAGGGCAGGGTGGGACAGCGTCCGACACGAGCACGATGCAGCCACTAGACCTGGCAGAGCTACCTGACTGGACCTGGCTACCTGGTGGGACGGGGGAACCGGACGGGTGTCGGTGTGGAGGGTGTACAGACCAGAGCCCGGCTCCTGACGAAAAGTGGCCAGAGGGGCGTACGTGTCACCGTCCACACAGACTGCAGTGTCACCCGAAGGCTCAAACCAGACCCCGACGTGCTGTCTCGCCAGAGGAGCCACACCAACCAGGTTCCTAGAGAAAGTAGGAACGTGGAGGCCGGTCAGAGAACCGGAAGGGGCAGCTGGGCATGGGAGGGTAGTGGCGTGAGTCGCAATGACCGGTCCCGAAGAGGGATCAGCCAGTGCTACAGAAACCGGCGCCGAGAGTGGAGTAAGAGTCGTGCTGTCGCGGAAGAAGCACTGCGTCGCTCCGGAGTCCAGTGTGAAGGAGAGCGACGCGTCCGCCGAGGGAGCACATGTACTAGTAGCTAGACAGGATCCTACACCAGCACCTACTCTAGCAACAGGCAAAGATCCTACGCTAGGTACAGGCAAGTAAACAGATCCGACAGCACTATAGTCAACATCAGCATACATGGCATAAGACCTAGCATCATCCATAGACATATCAAACACAGCAACACCACGAGCAAGGAGTGGTCCCCAGCGCGGTGGCGGGGGAGCGGAGGGACCGTGGTGCAGGACGTACAGGTCGTCAAGACGGCTGAAGCAGCGCGCAGCAGAGTGGTCAGGGCGGCCGCAGTACGTGCCCCTGCGCGGACCCGTCAGGATCCAGTACTCACAGGGACCAACGTCGCGGCCGGCCGAGCGGGGTCCCCGACTAGAAGGGGCACCACTGCGCCCAGTGCTCGGGGGGCCCGTAGGTCTCCACTGCTGCGGGAGGGCCCACTGCTGCGAAGGGCCCCACTGCTGCTGAGTGCCCCACTGCTGGGGCTGCTGCTGAGGCGAACGCTGCTGTTGGCCCTGGCGCTGCTGCTGCTGTCCAGGCGGTGGCAGCTGCTGAGAAGTCTGCTGCTGCTGCTGCGAAAACCCCTCACCACCGTCTAGAGGAGAGCCGTCAGGTCCCGAGTCACCCCCGCCGCCACCCCCGCCACTAGTACTACCGCCACCGCCGCCACCCGCAACACCCCCAGAACCCCCGCCGCCCTTCCCTTTCTTCTTGCCGGACTTGCCACGTTTCTGTCCGCCAGAGACAGAAACGGCCGCCGTCTCCTCAGAGGCAGAAGACGCGGCAGTGGCAAGCGAGGCAGTGAAGGTGGGAAGCTGTGGTACCGCACACCCCTCAAAGAGACGAGGAGGAGGCGCGGAAGAGGCGGAGGCAACAACGAGGAGGTTACTCTCGATCTTCGAGAGAGCGGTCTCAAGAAGATCGATAGTAAGCTCAGTGGGGTGCTTCAGGAGAAGCGCGTCGCGGGCTGTGGCTAGACGGTCAGGGAGGCGAGTGACTAACCAGTGAATAGTGAGCCACATGGGGGGGGGTGCAAGGGCAAGCTGTTCCTCAGTGCAAGCGGCCTTGAAGCGAGCTTCAAGGGAGCGCAGGTGGGTAGCGAGGTTAGCAACAGTCTCAAAGGAGGCGAGGTCAGGGTAGATAAAGGGGACGAGGAGGCGGCTGAGGGAGGCAGAGGAGGGAGTGGAGTAGCGAGCAACAATAGCAGTGTAAAGGTCTGCAGCAGACTCGACCTGAGTGAAGTGGACAGCCTCAGTCGGCGGGAGAAGGTCGGTCAGGGCGAGGCAGGCAGCAGCGTCACGAGACTCCCACACGTCACGAGCGAGGAACCGGCGCTGGTACTCAGCCTCCTGCTCGGAAGTAGGCGGTGGGGTAGTGGGCAGCGGTGAAGGCTGCGGCGGGGCGGGCAGAGCACCGGACGCATGCGCAAACAGGTGCACGCCATCCTGGCGCTGACTCCTAAGGTGGCGCTGGGCCTGCGTCAGCCAGGTACTAAAGTCGATCACACGCCCCTCAGGGTCGAAACGGAGCACGCGAGACGTCGCCATGAGGGGCGAGGACAAGTGATAGCGGCCGCCAGCCGCGAGAGGAGGAGGAGAGGGAGGTGAGTGCGAGGCGGGTGCGCGCAGGCGGGGTGCGCACTGACTGGGCGCGGGGCGGCGGGGCGCGCGCTAGCGGGGCGCGCTCCGGCGCGGCGCGCTGGCTGGCGTGGCGCGCGGGCGCGACGCGCTGGCGGGCGGCTAAGCAGGGCGCGCGCTGGCGGGCGCGGCGCGCTGGCGTGCGCGCTGGCGGGGCCCGCTGGCGTGGCGCGCTGGCGGGCGCGCTAGCGGGCGCGCTGGCGTGCGTGCTGGCGGGCGCGCTGGCGAGCTCGCTGGCGGGCGCGCTGGTAGGCGAGCCGGCGGGCTCGCTGGTGCGCCCGCTGGCGTGCGCGCTGGCGGGCTGGCGTGCAAGCGGGCTGGCGCGCAGGCTGGCTGGCGCGCTGGCGCGCTGGCAGGCTGCCGCGCTGGCGCGCTGGCTGGCTGACGCGCTGGCGGGCTGGCGCGCTGGCTGGCTGGCGCGCTGGCGGGCTGACGCGTTGGCTGGCTGGCGCGCAGGCTGCTGGCGCGCTGGCTGGCTGGCGCGCTGGCTGGCTGGTTGGCGCGCTGGCTGGCTGGCGGGCGCGCTGGCTAAGGGCGGGGAGGGGAGGGGCGCTGGCGGGCTGGTAGGGTGCAGTGGTAACCCTAGTGGTAGGGAAGGGCGGGCCTAGGACTAGGAGCGCTAACCTACTGCTGATACCATGTCAGAATGAGAACTACAGCGGAATGCGTTGTGTTGACAGAATTGGGGTACATCACCTAACCCTAACTAGTTGTACCCCATATAGCCCAACCCACTACAGGCTATAATATTTGACAGGCAGTGGGGGTGGCACTGAGTAGGTGTGTTGTGAATGTGATGCTCTTCCAGAGCTCATGGACTTCGTGAGTGCTACTTTATTATGTCATTGTAAATAACTTACCGGTAGCTCACAAAATAGTAACTGAAACAGGGTTGGCCTAAAACTACCCTGCTCAAATCAGGGTAGTGGTTGATTTACCCTGCTGCAAACAGGGTACGAAAAAATTTACCCTAGGGGTCGGGGTAAGGAGGGGCTGGAACCCTGATTTGTAAGGGTAGGCCTAAACCAATTTTGGGCCCTGCTCGCCATCTAATACCGTACTACCGGTGCTCACTCTCCAGCGCGCACTTGTAAAGCAGACTCACAAGTCATTTTCAATGCAGTCATTGGGTGGTGGTGCATGGCAGCAATCAAAGCTGTGTGCTTGCAGCAGCACCCCACCAAGCACAATGGATCATTCGGCATTGGGGTTGCTTGCTAGTGTGAGGCTGCAGTGTGTGCTTCAGCCCACACTACTCCTACCTGCCTCTTTTTCTGTGATTTGGGAATAGAACAGCACAGGGCCTCAGATTCACTTTAAGGGTCGTCACCCCATCAGGGTCCCCCTGCGTGTTAACTCTGATTTTCAGTGTCCCAAAATTAAAAAAGGCTGAAATGTCAGTGTTGCGATTTTTTAAAGCCTGATGCATCAGTGTACCTTTTGGAAAAACACTGACTCTATTTTAAAGTCCTACTTCTAGATGGCAGAAACGGTGGATGGGCTGGGCGGTGTGGAGGATGGCACGGTGCTTGCCAGCACAGCCCAAACCTAACGCATCGCACATGATGGGTACGGGGCAGGAACCTTGGCAGCCCGCCAGCACCACATGTCTGCCACATTCGGATTCGCCAACACTGGATGCTGCAGCGAAACGGCCCAATGGTGTGAGGCGCCCCGCCAAAAAAACACCTCTCAACGTGAACCTAAGGCAACATTTCTAAGGGTGGTCCCGCCACGGGTTGCCTACATACAGGGAATCTGAGATTCCCTGCAATTGCGGTCGAGGTGACATGTCACAGGTGAGATTCGCTTTCAGTGTCGGTTTCGTTACAACGTAGTGGCATCAGTGTACAACGGGAAAAAAACCTGAAATATCAGTGTGGCCAATAAAAAAACGCTGAAAGATCAGTCCTACAAAAATCCCAACTCTGACTTTTCAGGGTAGCTTGAAAATCGGCTGCCAAAATCAGGAATTTCAGGGTTTTTTTCCTGATATCTGAGGCCCTGGAACAGCAGTTTAGTGCCCCAGTTGGGTAGATGTGCCCTGTGATCATCTGTAAATCTTTGTGCTTTTCATGAAAAAAAATGTTCTTTCACTGGTCAATTCTCCGTTGTTCGCTTGCTGTGAAAAGTTTGGGTAGAGTTGACCAGTGAAAGTTTTGCTGCAAAACTTGTATACTTAAGCAAACGGACAACGGAGTGTACTTTCACTGGTCAATTCTCACAGCCTTCTGGCTGGAGTGAGTGATGTGACAAGGAGGGTGGTACTGTACGTACAGTAGCCACACCACAGCTTCACCAGCGCACAGCATAACAATAGCATTCCCCTCGCCATCACTCAGCGCCCATTGCGCCAGAAGCTGCACGTACCTCCGCACACCACCGCCCCTTTCCCTGGGGTGCAACCACCCTGTACCTCCATCCCTCCATCCTTCTCCGCCCGTCGTCTTCTCCGCACGACCGTTGCGGAGCCCGTTTCCCACCTCATTCCACCCCTGCCCTTCCGCCGTCCGCGCGTCGCGCAGGGGGCGGGCTCAGCGCCGCCGACAGCCGCCGCCGCAGAACGCGGAGCTGGATATGGAGGCGTCGCGTCGCGTGCTGGCAGCCGTGCGGGGATCACGGGCGGGGCTGTCGCGCGGGGCGCGGGAGCGACTGGGATACGGTGGGTGTGCATCGACGAATCTCCAGAGTGAGCGCGAGAGGCGGTAGAGCGCGAGTGGTTCGGGAGTAGCATCCGATGCTGAGTCAGCAGCAGCAAGAGGGCGTGTGCAGCGCCATGCGAAGAGCATCCCTTCCAGAGACTTGCCGCGCTGCTGCTGCTGCTGCTGCCGTGCTTGCATGGCACGTTGCATTCTCACGATGACCACACGCCACGCCACGCCACACTTTGTTCCAGAGTCGTCAGAAGCTGCCTGTTTCTTGTGCCTTGTGCCGTGTGGTGCGTGGTGTGTGCATGCAGACGTGCTGAGTCTGTGCCATGGGCTGCGCTGCTGTGTGCTGCTGGACTACTGCTGCCCCTCCTCGCATGACCTTGCTGCTCTGCTCACACACCTCAACCAGGTATGCCACTCGCTTACTCGCATGCTCACATGCTCGCATGGACTATGCACCATACTCCATTCACCACACTCCATGCACCATACTCCATGCACCTCTGCCCCTCTTCTCGCTCCTTCTCCATGCTCACAGCGCGCTGAACCTTGCCGCATTGCCACTTACTGGTCCCACTCTCCTCCCTATCCGTCTGCCTTCTCCCTCTTCCGCATTGCCTTCTCTTCTCTTACTGATCATTCGCACTCTGCTGCAGGAGCTATCGCCTCTCCTCTCAGCCTCCTGCCGTGCCTTTCCAAACCATCAACACCATCACCAACAACATTGCTCTCACCATCATCCACCCCAGCAGTCATCCCCCCTCCCACACCCGCTCCCCCCCTCCTCCACCTCTGCTGTTCCCCCCACCGCCTCCCCTCCACCCGCCTTCTCGCCTGCCCCCAACCCCTCCTCGCCCTACACCCCCCACGCTCCCGCTCACCTCTTGCCGCTGTGCGATGCGGCGGTGGCAGCGGCAGCAGGGGACGTGGGCGTGGTGGAGATGGGCGGGGCGTGCTACCTGGTGCGCGTCACTGCACTGCACTGCCTGGCTGCACAGGCAGAGCGAGGGACACACACTGGTGCATTGGGGGCGCGGCCATTGTCGCCACTGCCAGTGCGGCTGCCACCAGTGCACGATGAGGGCAAAGCGCCAAGCGTGGCAGCATGCACGGCACTGGGTGGCCTCTTACCCGTGCTGCCGCACATGCCGCCGCTGCTGCTTGCATGCCGCAATGCGTCTCTGCAGGTGAACCGTGTGCAACCTGGATGATGATGGGCATGGGGACAGGATTAGTGGCAGGGAGTATGAGAGTGTTGTGTTGTGGGTAGTGAGTGCTGTACGTCAAGTGCTTGCAGCCATTTCCGCGGCTCAGCTTAGCCAAGTGGGCTGTCTGCAGTCCTGAGTTGACTTCTTCCTACACTGCCTGCCAGCCATGCATGCATGCACATGTGCAAGTGTGCCCTCACTAATGCTCTCCCACTTGACCACTGTGTCATTCCATCCACTCTCTGCGTGTTTGCCATGTGAATGCTCATGCGAGCACTCATTCGAACGCTAATGTAAACACTCATGCGCATGCTTGTCTGCATTTGCCATCACACGTGCAGGAGGTGCCACCCGCTGACGCCCAGGCAACTCTCACCCACCTCCTCTCATTCGTCCTCAACCTCCTTGCCCCACCCATAGCTCTCGCCACCACACCCACACACCCCTCTCACCAACCGCCGCTGCAGCAGCAGCAGGGTGCGTGGGAAACAGCAGCAGCAGCGGCGGCAGAGGAGGGGAGAGGAGGAAACGAGAGGGTGGGGGAACCAGGGGGTGGGGAGCGTGCAGATGATGATGGGTTTGTACGAGTCGGCAAGCCCAGGAGAAAGGCCAGGCGATGGCAGCAGCAGCAGCACCAGCAGCAGCAGCAGCAGCAGCAGCAGCAGCAGGAACAGGAGAGGTTGCATGGGGATAATGGATGTTGTAGCAGAACAGGAGGAGTTGGGGAGGATGGAGAATGCAGGGGCAGTAATTGTGGTGTTGGGAGGGCGACAGGGGGCGGCAGAGGAGCAGTGGTGGTGATGCAGGGTGATGCGGCGTTGAGGGCATGCCATGTGGCCCTGCCCACTGTTAATGGGTGAGTGCTAGTGCCGCATATACAGCTCTTCCCCCACGCTCCCACTAACAAACGCACAGCCACACGCACGCACGCACACGCACACACATGCACCCGTACGCGCCATGTGCCGTGCCCCACACCCCCCCCCCCCCCCCCCCCCCCCGCGGCCGTGCATAGGTGTTCTTGCAAGCCAGTTAAAATACATCCGCTCTCTTTTTCCTCCAGTCTTCCCTTGCCGTTTTGTCCTTTTCTCCAAACGGCCAGGTTGCTTCACTGTTTCTTGCTTCTCAACACCAGCACTGCCATCTAGAGCTGATAACCACTGCTTCCTGTTACCCTCCATCAAGTCAAATCCCCTCAACTTCCCTATGTCCCGTACCATCCCTGCCCCTCCATCTCTCATCCTGCATGTGCCCTCCCCTGTTACCCACCCCCCCCCACCCCCGCCCCCACCCCCCAGCTGGCTGTTGGGTTACCCCGTGGTGTATCTGCTGCCCGCCCTGCACTCCTCACCTCAGCCGTTCCCGTCAGAGCAGCCAGCAGTGCCGCCCGGTGAAGCCATGGCTCGCTGCCTTGCTGCCACACCGCTCTCCGTGCTCTCTGTCTCCGCTGCCTGGTGCGTGCCGTGTATTGCTGTGCTCTGTGGCATGATGTGACGTGGCATGATGTGACGTGGCATGTTGTGACGTGGCATGATGTGACGTGGCATGATGTGACATGGCATGATGAGACATGGCATGATGAGACATGGCATGATGTGGCATGGCATGATGAGACATGGCATGATGTGATGTGGCATGATGTGACATGGCATGATGTGACATGGCATGATGTGCTCCCTTTGTTACCTCATAGAACCACACCCATCCCACTGCATGGCATCGCATAACTCCTATCCTATGTGAGCTCCTCCCATCATGATGCCTGCCACCGCATGCCACCGTACTGCACCGCATCTATTGAGTCGTTGCTCGGTCCCCCACAACAGCAGTGCAGGGGAAAAAGGCATCGAAGGGTCAAGGCCGCATGATTCACAGCAGCATGGCTCCCTCCTTCCCACCAACACCCACACACACGAGCTTCTCAGGTGAAGTCGCCGCCTGAATCTTCAACCCACACCCCATTCACCAAGCACCGAGTCTTTAGGCATGCATGGCTGTTCAGTTCCGTGCATGTGTGTAGCTGCCTCCTCTATGCTGCTGCATGGGCACTAGTTTTGAGGCGCCTCAAAACTAGCCCATTGAGTGTGCACCGAGTGTTGGCATGCACGGCTGTTCCGTGCAGACTCCATTGTGTGGCCTCTGCCTCCTCTATGTTGCATTGGTGCTCGTGTGTCACCCATTCACTTGGACACTCACTTGTTGCGCTCCAAACAGCTGCCCCCAGCACCCGAACCGCAGGCATCACCATCAGCAGCCAAAGACCTCACACCATCACGCACTCCTCTCCTTCCCACCCCTCTCTTTCCCATCCCTCTTTCTTTCCCACTTCTCCCCACCCGCCTTCCACCCCCCTCCCGTCTCCCCCCGGACCCCCACTGCAGGTTCTCCGTCCCATCCTTCTTGCTGTCTGCTCCAGACTCACCACCCCCACACCTGCACCACCCCTGGCTGCACTCACTCCTCACAGCCCTCCAATCAAGAGTCGCCAGCTGTCCCAGTGCACGAGATGGAGCGCCTAACGAGGTAGTTGAATCGGAGGATGGCAGGAGGGACAGTGGGGGAAGTGGGGGCAGTGAAGGCAATACCCTGGGAGTGCCGAATGGCAGTGTGGGGGGTGCTGCTGCTGCTGCTGCTGCATCATGCAGCGTGCAAGAAGAAAGGATGACCACGAGCTGTTGTACTGGGGCTATCGTGTGCCAGGCGTGGCATGAGAAGCAGCAGGAGGCTCGCGCTGGGAAGAGGCACAGCAGTGCCTGGTGGTGCTGGGAGCAGCTGAGAGTGGCTGTAAATCCTGCTGAGACATCGGCAGTAGTTTTGTAGGGCTGTGTACTGGTAACAACACCAGACTGTTCGTATCAGATTCACCCCTTTGAAGTTATTCTTTCAGATCTACCGTGTTTGGCCACGCAATGTTCTTTTACTTGAAGGTTCAGGTGGATACGCAATAGCAGAACTTCCAGACCAGCTACAGTATTAAGGTGTGGGGGGGAGAGGGTAGGGGGGAGGGGAGGTATGCCCTAAGCCAATTCGGGGTTCCATGGAACTAACAAAATCACACACACAAGCATTCAAAGAAAGGGTCTAAAACCAGCCCTTAAGCAAACACAACTGGGCTAAGAAGAACCCAACAATTTCCGGCAAACAACGAAAATGCCCTTCAAAGCTCTTGGGCACGAGTGATTAACGCTTCTTCTGTGTCGTAACATCAGACTGTAAACGAGGCGAACTACAGCGCAGCAATGGCGAGTCAACCGTGGAGGTTGACAGAAAAGGTAACAGACGGAGGTTACGCGAAGGTCAAAGGTGTTATGAGTTGTCAAAGAGAGTGCGCAGGTAAATGAATAACGAGGCTGTGACCAGGGGTTTTTTTATCAGTGTAATTTACTCTGTTTCTCTGAAAATCAGAGTGGTTTTTGGGGGGTCACTCTGTACCTCCTGGGTAAATATTTTGAGAGTTACTTGTTCTCTGATCAGTCAGGGTTTTTGTCTAAGTTCACTCTAGAGTGCCTGTGTTACTTTCCCGGATAGTGAGATTACTCTGTACAGGGGATACATGTACCCCCGAACCCCCACGTCCCCCCTTATCCCCTCGTTGCCGGTTTTGACCGGAGCGCAGGGATATCAGCCTTGGTTCGCTCGTGTGTTGGCACTACCTGAGGTTCTGATTGGCCGGTATGGCATATTTCGTGCCAGCGCACGCATTTGGCCACCCACCAGATACATCGCTGGCTTTGCGTACCCCGTCAGCAATGAACAACTCCTACTTTCGGGCATGATACGGCAGCTTCCTTTGGTGCGATGCTTTCGTGCGCGGCCCGCACGATCACACATGTTGCTCGGCTGACAGACGGGGTCACCACCAAACCCCATCCTGTCCTCCCATTCTGTTTCTTCCCACTGCACTACTCTTCAACGTTTCAGTATAGCGAGTGTGTAGTGGGCTTCTCCAGCCACAGCCCCTCCTCCTGCACCTTTTTTGTGCCGTCATTACCATGGATACTAGCGACGCTGATGGAGACGCGGCTGATCCCGACGACAGGCCGACATGTAGCACACCCCCTGCGACTAGGCTTCAGTTCCTACGCTCTGTGCGTGAGGATTACGTTCGCGATGAAGAGGCGCTGGGCGATGGCGGTACCGAATGGATGCGACGTACACGCAACGAATCTGGCGACATGGTAGATGCGAACGACGATTGTTGTCAATCTCCGCGCCCGATGAATGACGCTGCTGAGTCAGACGGTGTTGAGGAGTGGATCGCCTCGCCGCGAAACGAGGTTGCTGCAGAGCCAGCTGCAACGGTTGCAACGGAGCTTGTCGATGCGGCCACTACTGAGTCGACTGGTTCAGTCGCTGCAAAGAAGCGACGATTAACGCAGCAGGTTTTACAGTGGGGAACACCGCCGCCGAAGCCTGTCGCTCCACCTCCCCGTCCTACCCCACCCCCCATTCGTCCCCTTTCAGACGAGGAGAAGAAGGAGAAGGCCTACCGGAAGGCGCAGAAGAGCTACACGTCTGATTGGCTACCGAAGTTTGACTGGCTGATTCTGGACAGGACCCCTGAGGGTGACCCGTGTCTGCGCTGCAGTGTCTGCACCGAGCACGGGAAGGACAACGCGCGTTACGGTCGCAATGGCGCTGGCGGTCGTGATCTGCAGATCGGGTCGATGCGGTGGCACGAGAACAGCGCGAAGCACGAGGACGCGATGAACAAGCAGGCGAACCTTCTGCAGAAAATAGCCGACCAGAAGAAAATTGAAGACTTCGCGAAGGGAGATCCAGAAGCCTGTCGTGTCGCGGTACTAATGCGAGCCATGCGATTTGTGTGCCGTACCGATACACCCATCCACATGTACCCACAGATCGTGCAGCTTCTCGCAGAGGAGGGGGTCGCCAACATACCGCGACAGAGCTATGGAGTGTACATCACACAGTGAGTCGTTGTCTCTGTTGTTCTTGAAGCAGCCGGTTATGTTTATGTATGCTAATGCGTTGTGCTATATGTCTGCGCAGGTACGGTTTCTCCGAGATGGCCAGGGCTCTCACCGTGTATCTGACCAGAGAACAATTGCGCCACCTCCACGCCTCGCCCTTCATCGGCATCATGTGCGACGAGAGTACCGATCGAGCCCGTGGCAAACACATGATTGTGTTTGTCACGTTCCTCAAGAACAGTGTGGTTGTAACCGAGTTCCTCGTGTTACTTACCGTACAGCAGTGTGATGCGGCATCGCTCATGAACGCACTGCTCCAGCATCTCGAGACGGTGGGCATCGACTTGCAGAAGATTTCAGGAATGTCCACGGACGGCGCGGCAGTGATGATCGGGGGCACGTCCGGCCTCGTCACACGACTGCGAGTCCACGTTCCCCACCTTGTCGGCTGCCACTGCATTGCGCATCGGTACGTGTGTTTTGCCTGCGAAATAGAGTGTCTGGTTAAACGTTATTTTGTGTTTCCAACTTATTCATGAAACGATCTTATTCATTGTTTTTAAGTTTTGCGTGCAGTGAAGCACTTGCTGTGAAGGAGACTGCCGGTGACGAGCGGTTCAAAGACTTTGGGATGGTAGACAAGGCCATCCGTGCAGTTGGCGAGATCGTGGGGAGATCCACGCCATGGTACGAGAGGTTCAAAGAGCTCCAACTCGTGATCCACAGCACCAACCTCGAGCATCAGGGACTGTTCGACGTGCGCTGGCTCTCCCGTGCTGACGCTGTCAACCGTCTTGTCAAAATTCTGGGGTCGGCAATCGTGCTTTTCCTGGAGTACAATCACAAGATCGCCGCGGTTGTGAAGACCCTGAAATTTCATTTTTGTCTGTACTTCCTGGCAGACATTTTGGGGGAGTTGAACTCCCTGAATCGTTTCTTCCAACGACGCAAGGTAAATGAGGCCTAAAAGGCTTGTTGATACACACGTTTAACCGTGTTCATTATTATTTTTAACGCAGAGACTAACAAAAAAAAATACCCCGTGTCGACCCGGCAGGTGGAGGTGACGCAAGTCACAGAGGAGGTCGACCGTGTGGTCTCCCTCATCGAGCACCGCTACATCGACTACGAGGGTGCTTTCGGGGCGGGTCTGAGCACCCACTTGTCTCCATTCATGGCACGTCTCAAGAACGGGGACAACAAGGTGAAGGTGGACGGTGTGGACGCTAGCGGCCGGCCCGTTAGGCACACCTTCGAGCTCAGCGAGTTGCCGGACAAACAGCACAAGTTCGGCGGGTCCCTGGCAGATTGCGTGAAGATGGGCAAGGCGTTCGCCCGTGAGGTAGTGTACAACCTGAAGCACCGCATGCGAGATCTTCGTCGAATGGGCGGCATGAAACTGTTCAAGGTGGACAAGTGGCCATCGAATCCGGACACGCGTGCGAGACGATGTGCCACATGGCTCCGTGAGAACTCACAACTCTTCAGCCACCAGCTGCCAGGTATTTGGACATCAAATTTCGATCTTTTTTGTTTTTTTTTTTCCTAAAATGCCTGTCGTAAATGTCTAACGAAAGTTCCCGTTCAAAGAAATGCCTCTGCTGTTCGTACTGTGTTGGCAGGATTCGACCTGCGGGCAGCCGAACTAGAACTGAAAACTTTCTGCCACATCATGAAGACGCACCACGAGGACGAGGACTTTTACCAGGCGCTGACGAACATGCTGAGGTCACGCGATTGGCCGCGAAGTTACCCCAACATCATGACCCTGTGGCAGGCGTTGGCCGTCCTGCCACTCAGCACTGTCGAATGAGCTGGCAGCGCACGACTCTCAACGACACGCGGCTCACTGAACTCATGAGCATCCACATGCTCGACTACAACGTGGAGTGGCCAGATGTCGTGGACATCTGGCGCAAGCACAAGAAGAGGCGGCCGACAAAATCCCCAGCACCCTTCCAACCAGCGGCTGACAGGAAGAAGCCTGAGTCCAGTGCGGACGACGAGGAAGAGGCTGACGTGGCAGAGTTTGATTGAGCTGTAGTAGTAGGATAGGATAGGACATTGTGTACATCGTGTCTAAGAATTATACTTGTAACATTTTTAACTATGCAACAGCACAAAAACAAACGCGTACACACACAACAGGGTAAACGAAAAAAGTACTCTGAGGTGCCAGGGTTTTTAAACGGAAAGCCTGTGTTACACTGACATTTAAGAGGAAGGCTCGCCAAACACTCTGAATTTCAGAGTACAGCCAAAAACGCCTCTGGAAACCAGTGTACTCTAAAACGAAAAAAAACCCCTGGCTGTGACTGAATGAACTGAGAATACAATGAATGCACAGACTAATGTAGGGCTAGCCTAGCTAGGAGGGAACCTCGGACGAGCGAGGTTGGGTGCAGGTTTGGCGATGGGAAATGCCGAAGGCGACGCGAGGAGCCTCGGCAGCGTTGAAATTGGCTGAACGTGCGAAGTCTGAAAATCGGGTTGTACGCGAAGCAGTCAACCCCGATAAGGAATTTGGGGAAATTCCTTACACTACCCCCCCCCTTAAGAAAGGCGGTCAATATCCGAAACACGCTTGTGCGCCAGGTAATCACCAACAAGTGGCGAGGCGTCGAGCGAGGCGGATGGCACCCACGTGTCGTTGTCACTGGTGCGGTCAGTCCAGCGGATCAAGAAATCCACGTGTCGGCCAGATGCGTCAATGCGGACCCGATGAGCGAGGATTTTCGAAGGGTCAAGAGTCGGCTCCGGTACAGGTCGTGCCGTCGGGGCAGCTTGCTGACGTGCGATGTCGGTTGTGGCTGGCACGAACTTGCGAAGAAGGCTGACGTGGAAGGCGTCGTGAATTCGTCAGTCGTCAGGTAGCAACAGCTTCCC